ACCTGCCATATGCTGAAAGAGGGCCTGGAGAATACAGGCAGTTTTGTCAGCTGAACAAGGCTGAGTGGTGCACACAAGCAACCTCAAAATCTAAATTCAGTACTACCACCGCTAAATCACCTGTGGGAGGGTTGGTCACTCAGGAGCTCACCTCCTCAGAGAGATCATTCCTAAACTCATCAAACTAACATTATCCCCATTTGTTTTTTTTTCTCCCAGCAGTTATTACTACCTGAAATTGCAATCTTCATTCATAGGCTTTTCTTTCCTCTCTCTCTCTCAACCAAAAGAATAGCATCTTTGCCAATCTCACTGCTTTATCCTGCCTGGTTCAATAACTATTTGATTGAATTAATACCGAGGTTAAAAATAATTTGAAAAAGAAAAACAAAGCTGGAAGACTAACATTGATCTCAAGCCTTATAATAAAACTACAATAATCAAGACCATGTGGTATTGGCATACAGACAAATAGATCAATGAAACAGAATGGATTCCAGAACCAGACCCACATATAAATGGACAATAGATTTTCTACAAAGGTGCAAATTCAAAAGAGAGTCTTTTCAACAAACAGTGCTAAAACTGGTTATCTATACGTACATGTGCACATATCTATATACGTATATACATAGCTCCACACCTCACCATACACAAAAATTAACTCAAAGTGGATCATAAACCTAAAACCTTTTGGAAAACATGTGAGACCTTGGGTTAAGCAAAGATTCCTTAGCATGATCCACTAAAAAAAAAAATGGTTGAGGGGTGTCTGGCTGGCTCAGCCAACAGAGCATGCGACCCTTGATCTCTGGATTGTAAATTCGAGCCCCATGTTGGGTGTAGAGATTACTTAAAAATAAAATCGTTTAAAATTAATGAATTAATAAAAAATAAAAATGGATAAACTGGACTTCATCAAAATTAAAAACCTCTGTTCTTTCAACAGAGACTGTTAAAAAAGATGAAAAGACAATGGGGCTCAGTCAGTTAAGCATCCAACTCATGGTTGCAGCTCAGGTCATAATCTAAGGGTCCTGGGATGAAGCCCCGTGTCAGGCTCTGCACTCAGAGGGGAATCTGGGGAATCTGCTTCAGGATTTTCTTCCTCTCCCTCTGCCCCTCCCGCCACTCGTGTGTGTGTGTGTGTGTTTGTGTGTGTGTGTACTCTCTCAAATAAATAAATAAATATTTCAAAACGGGGGGGCACCTGGGTAGCTCATTCAGTTACACGTCTGTCTGCCTTTGACTCAGGTCATAACTTCAGGGTCCTGGGATGGAGCCCTGAGTCCTGTTCCCTGCTCAGGAAAGAGTCTGCTTCTCCCTCTCTCCCCCCCAGCACCCCCCTCCCCAGTTTGTGAGCAAGCCCTCGCGTGCTCTCTCTCTCTCTCTCTCTCAAATAAATAAAATCTCTTTTAAAAAAATAGATGAAAGACAAGCCACAGGCTAAGAGAAAATAGTTGCAATTCTGATAAAGGACTTGTTTCCAGAATAAAGAATTCTCTTCTTGTAAGATTTTATTTATTTATTTGAGAGAGAGAGCAAGAGAGAGCGTGAGCACAGAGGGAGAGGGAGAGGGAGAAGCAGGCTCCCTGCTGAGCAGAGAGCCTGACCCAAGGGCTCAGATCCCAGGACCCTGAGATCATGACCTGAGCTGACGGCAGATGCTTAACTAACTGAACCACCTGGGTACCCCTGGAATAAAAAATTCTTGAATCTCAATAAAAAAACAACTAAATAAAAATGGGGGGAAAATATTTGATCAAATAGACGTGTCACCAAAGAAAATATACAGATGGCAAATAAGCACATGAAAAGATGATCAACATCATTAGTCACCAAGGAAAACATGAATTAAAACTACAATGAGGGGGCGCCTGGGTGACTCAGTCAGTTAAGCATCTGCCTTCAGCTCAGGTCATGATCCCAGGGTCCTGGGATTGAGCCCCACGTCGGACTCCCTACTCAGGGGGAGCCTGCTTCTCCCTCTCCTCCCCACTTGTGCTCTCTGTCGCTATCTCTGTCAAATAAATAAGTGAAATATTAAAAAAAAAAAAAAAGAATAAAAACCACAATGAGGGATGCCTGGATGACTCAGTCAGTTAAGTGTCTGCCTTCAGCTCAGGTCATGATCTCAGGGTCCTAGCGTCTGGCTCCGTGCTCAGCAGGGAGTTTGCTTCTCCCTCTGCCCCTCCCCCCCATCGCTCATACACACAAGCGCTTGCGCTCTCTCCCTCTCAAATAAATAAAATATCTTTAAAAAAACAACAAACTACAATGAGATACCATGACACACCCACTAAAATGGCTAAAATTTAAAAATTGACCATACCAAGTGTTGGCAAAGATGTAGAGTAACGAGAACTCTTACATACTACTAGTGGGAATGTAAATGGTATTACCACTTTGGAAAACAGTTTGGTAATTTCTGAAAAAGTTAAATATACATTGACTGTATGATCCAGCCATTCCCCCAAGAGGTATTTTGGTAAATATCTCTTATGCACAAACATTCACAGCAGTTTTGTTTGTGATAGACAAACTCGAGAACATCCCAAATGTTCCCACCAACAGGTGGATGGATAAACTAACAGTAGTACACCCATACAATGGAATATTACCAAACAATAAAAAGAAATGAACTTTTTGATACATACTACAACATGATGAATCTCAACATAAGTATGCTGAGCATAAGAAACCAGGGGCGCCTGGGTGGCTCAGTTGTTAAGCGTCTGCCTTCGGCTCAGATCGTGATCCCAGGGTCCTGGGATCGAGCCCCACATCGGGCTCCCTGCTCAGCAGGAAGCCTGCTTCTCCCGCTCCCACTCCCCCTGCTTGTGTTCCCTCTCTCGCTGTGTCTCTCTCTGTCAAATAAATAAATAAAATCTTTAAAAAAAAAAAAAAAGAAACCAGACATAAAATTCCATTTATATAAAATTCTAAGAATTGCAAACTAGGGTGTAGTGACAGAAAGCACAGGAGTGGTCACCTGACAAGGAAAGGATTAAAAAAGACACAAGGAAACATCATAAGGGATAATGGGTATGTTCATTATCTTGACTATGACGACGGTTTCACAAGTATATGCATGTGTCAAAACATCAAACTGTACACTTAAATATATGCAATCTATTGTGTGTCATTTATACCTCAATAAAGCTGGTTAAAAATAATAAAAAAGACCTACAATCTAGAAAATATAATAATTTCCACTTATCTGTGTTATGTTCACAAGCTGACTTTTCAGGTGGCACGCATTTCTTTTCAATAATATAGGAGCGCCAGAGAAAAGGAATGATCTTTGCCACTTGCAGCTTTGGCTATACCCCCACTTCTCCGCTTCTACACTAACAAGCTGGACAATGTAGGGTCTATTACCACCCGGCCCCTTCCCCACTCCCAACCCCCAGTCTTTTTGTCTCCTAAAGAAGCAGATCCTTACTTGTCTGGAAGAGCAGACACAAGGAACAAAAGGTTCAATGACTATTTGACAGATGAAAGAATAGACAACTGTTTTATTTAAAAGCTCCCTAAAGAATTAGAACATTTGAGGCTATACACTGTTCTGCTGAAATAGTTATATATTACCCAGATCTGTAAGCACTTGCCAACAGACCTGTCCAAATCACTCACTTCCTAAGAGTTTTTGGTTTTCTTTTCTCTCCCTCTTTCCATTCCATGAATAAATAATTGGCAGGTGTATTTTGAGAAGACATTCTTAATATTTTGAAAATTCTCTCAAATAACCCCAACAGCTTGAGACAATTTTTCAAATGTCTAAGACAGTGACCATAACAAGATCATAAAGGAAAAGACCAAACAATGGCTCTTATGTGTGAATCGTATATAAAGAGTGGCAATACAAAATAACAGAATCATTATTATCTGAAAACAATAGGTCACACTACAGTTCTACAACATAATAAGGCTTACAAATGATTAACAGTTATAAAATAATAATAGCAATATGGTGATTAAACAGTGGAGATTCTGGCTCCACCACTTATTGGTTGAGTGACTTCAGGCAAGTTGCCTAAGTTCTGAAAATCAGTTTACTCGTCTTTAGAACCAGGATAATATTAAGAAGAAGAAGAATTCCTCTTCTCATAGGGTTATAGTGAGGTTTAAACGTGTTTGGCTTACAGTAAGAGCTAAATAAACGTTAGCTATCAGAAGTATTATTACCCTGAACTTCCAAGGGATCCCATTAATTCACTAATCCTCCTGACTCTTGGTGCAAATCCTGTCATTTACTAACATGAAACTTCCGAGCCTCAGTTTCCACATCCGTAAAACGGGGGCGATTAATGTTACCTGACTTTGAAGGCTGTGGTTAAGGATTAACTAGAGATACAGCTCCCTTCCCTCCCATCTCCCAAAGCGAAGACCGCGGAGGAAGGAAATACTTCTAATAGCAGCAGATACAGTCAGTTTTTCCATTTCTGGCACGTGAGGTGGGGGGGAAGGAGGTGCAAAGAGCCACATAAAGGGGTCAAGTTCCTGAACGAAGCCCCCAAACGCACGCGAGAGGCAGAGTGACCCAGAGCGGCTCGACCGTCGGGGGCCCGACCCCGCGCAACTCCCTCCTCTCCCCTCCCGCGTCCCGGGCTGAGGAGCCTCCCCAAGTGAGCGGGGTTATTTCGGAATCACCATGAGGCAATTCTCATGAGGCAATGGGTCAGGAATGCGGCGCCGAGCCGGGCCGCTGGCGTCCGCGGTTCCCCGGGCGGCTCTACCTGCCCCCGTCCTGACGGGCATCCCCAGGGCTGCGGGAGCCGGAACTCGGAGAGGCAGGAAATGAATGGGGACCCGAGAGGTGGGGGCGCGGAGGCGCCGGGCCCCCGGCCCCCGGAGGACGAGAAGTTGGGAGGGAGCCTGCCCCGCGCGACCCCGGGCGGGAGTCCGAAGCCCGGCCGGGGCGCCCCCTCCCGGGCGGGGCTGATCGAACGCGGCGGGGGCCGGGCCGAGGCCCGGGCCCGGCCCTCGGGGCTCCTCACCTCCGCGATGTCATGTTCCTCCCGCCCTCCGGCTCCGCGACGGACCCGCTCCTTGCTCAGGCTCTGCTGGGCCCGGTCACATCGGGCTGGCCCGAGGGAGGCCCGCTCGGGACCGGGCAGGGGGGCAAAGCCAGCCGGCCGCGCGCAGACCCCCCTCCAGGCCTGGGGATCCCGGAGACTGTGCAGCCGCCCCCCAAGCCCGGTTCGCTCCTCCTCCTCCCCCCGCCTATCCCCGCCGGCGCCGCCGTGACGTCACCCGCGCGACGCCCGCCGCCACTTCCTGCTCCCACTCCTCCCGAGACGGAGCGGCGGCTGCTAATGGCAGTTCAGCGTCTCCGTGGAGCCGCCGCGACGCAGTTAGCAAAGCTCTCACCCGCCTTTAGACCTGGGCTGCAAGGCGCGCGCGCGGCGCCCTCACTACTGTGCGCATTCCCACGAACCGATCGCGTTCGCTCCCACCGTGTCGATTTCCATCCCTGCCCTGACGGCCAAATCGAATTTCATTCATTTCATTCCACAAATCGCCGCTCCACTTTTTAGCTGTGTAACCTTAGGAAAGTTGCTGAGCGTCAGTTGTTGAGTCTCTGAGCTTCAGTGTTCTCCGTTTCTTCATTTCTGTAAAATGAAGATCGTAACTGTATTCTCTTCATAGGATTATTATGGGGATTAAATATGCAAACTGCTTAGAACCAGGCCTGGCCTATTTAATAAGTGCTTTGTAATTCTTACCTGGATTATCATGATAATTAAACATCTGGTAGGCACTGTTTTAAACTATGGGGATACAAAAAAAAAAAAAAAAAAACTATTAGGGTAGTGAACTGAGGACAAAAATCCCTGCTAAAATACTATATTTCCATCTTCCTTTCTTTTCTTTATATCCCTTTATATTATCATTTGTAAAAGATTTTTATTTATTTATTTTAGAGAGAATCCCAAGTAGACTCCTCACTGAGCCCATGGAGGGGCTCTATCCCACAACCATGAGATCATGACCTGAGCAGAAACCAGGTCACTCAACCAAGTGAGCTGGGCACTCAACCAAGAGTGGATTCTCCACTGACTGTGTCACCAAGGCACCCTTTATCGTTTTTTCTAAAGATTTATTTATGTATTTATTCATTTGAGAGAGAGCACAAGCAGGAGGGGCAGAGGGAGAGGGAGAAAGAATCTCAAGCAGACTCCATGCTGAGTGGTGGACACCACCAGAGGCTCAATCTCCCAACCCTAGCCTAAACCAAGAGTTGGAGCTTAACCCACTGCACCATCCAGGCACCCCTATATTTCATCTTAAATACAGTTGTTAGGTAAGTCTTCACTGAGGATGACAAGCTGAGTACAGATCTGATCCTGGAGTAGTCAGTGGGAATAACTGGCAAATAGCATTTCGCATCAGTGGGAATAACTCTGGTGAATAGGGAGAGGCAAGTGCAAAAGCCCTGAGGCAGCAGGCTGCCTCCTGTATTCCAGAAACTATGAAGAGATCTCTGACTGGAGTGCAGAAGGCAGTGGGAGGGGTGAAGGGAGACCAGTAGAAGATGAGGTGAGAAAAGCATAGAGGATCTAGGGTCCTATAGGCTATTTAAATGAATAGTAAAATGGAGAGCCATTGAAAGATTTTCAGCAAAGAAGGAATATAATCTGTGTTTTGAAATTAAAAGTAAGGGGGGTGCCTCCGTGTCTCAGTCGTTAAGCGTCTGCCTTGGGCTCAGGTCATGATCCCATGGTCCTGGGATCGAGCCCCACCTCGGGCTCCCTGCTCAGCGGGAAGCCTGCTTCTCCCTCTCCCACTCCCCCTGCTTGTGTTCCCTTTCTCGCTGTCTCTCTCTCTGTCAAATAAATAAATAAAATCTTTTTAAAAAATTAAAAGTAAGGGTACTCTGGGAGAATCAGATCAAGAGGGCAAATCTGGAAACAGACCAGTTCAGAATACTAGAATACTATAATATTCCAGGCTAGAGATGATGGTGGCTCAGACCACAATGAGAAGGTAGAGCCTTTACCTGATGAATGTCCTCGTGATTCATTAAAGGCCACAGATCTAGTAAGTGACAGAGTCAGAATTTGAACCCACATCTAGGTAGCTCCAAAATCTTCATTTTTATTTCCTCCCAATGCTTCCCACCCATTCCTATACAGAGAACTCTGATATAGTGTGCTGACTCTTCAGCCTTGGTGATACCAAAAAAAAAAAAAAAAACCCTTACAAAATTTGTCTTTAACATATGTCAGTTTAATTTAGGTAATAGGCCTTCAACAAGCAGTTGTCCACCCTGTTTCTTTCTAGACCCCCTAAAAGTCCTGGCCATCTAAATGAGTCAAACAACACTCTAACTGATCTTAGGCCTATAGGCTTGCCCTTTCCAACCCATTCTTCACATAATAGCCACAGTAATCTAAAATGCAAAACTACTCACTCCCTACATTGAATACTTCAATGGCTACTCATTGTTTTTAGGATGAAATCACAAAAAAATTTTAACAACCCAGTCTGGTCCCCACTTACCTCACCAGCCCCTCTTCCCACGACTCTATGACCCAGCCATGCTGAATGACCTTCAGTTCCCCTCAATATACCATGCTCTCTCGCAGCTCAGGATCTTTACACAATCTACTCCCTCTCCCTGGAGGCTTCTCGACCTTTTGGCTAAGATCAAGTGTAGTATCTGGCCTCTTTCCTCATGAACTCTAGTCTATACCTCAGATCTCACACTAGAAGTCACCTCCTCTGGGATAGGAAGACTTACCTGATTCTCCCAGTCCAGGTTGGATGGTCCCCAAGACACCTATCCTAGCTTAGAACTGAACACAGTCCACTATAAATCTAAGACACAGTACCACATGGGAGTTAAGTTCTTGATCTCCAAAGCTCAGCCTGCCTACCTGGGTGTCCAGAGGTAAGTCACAAGACTTCTCTGTGTCTCAGCTTCCTCCTCTGTAAAATGGAGGGATCAACATACCACCACATAGGATAGGTGGTAAAGCATATGTGTGTGTATTTGTATAGGCATAGAGAAAAGTGGAAGAATACATACCAAACCATTAACACTGGTGGGGGTTTGAGTTGGGAATATGTATCCATGAGGAGCAGGGAAAATTACTGTCTTTATTAGGTTTGTTGCAAGGAATTTGTATTGCTTTTGTGGTTGAGAAAGAAATCAACTTGTGCTCTCTCTCACTATCTCTGTCTCTCTCTCAAATAAATAAATAAAATCTGAAAAAAATTTAAATGAATATTTCTATTTTTTCCTAAATGAACATTTCATAAGCCTATTCTAAAGCAGGCACTTTAGACTCTGGGCATATATAAAGATGAAGAAGGGGGTGCTTGGGTGGCTCAATCAGTGGAACATGTGACTCTTGATTTCAGGGTCGTGAGTTCAAGCCATAATACGTTGGGTGTGGAGCCTACTTAAAAAATTAGTATGAAATTAAGGTGAAGAAGCAAAGGAACTCATGATCTAGGGGAAGAGACAGAAGAATGAACTAACAGTGATGTTAAACTGTGTTAGGGGCTTACTGTTTTCCAGAGTGGCTGCACCAGCTTGCACTCCCACCAACAGTGTAGGACGGTTCCCTTTTCTCTGCATCCCCGCCAACATCTGTCCTTTCCTGACTTCTTGATTTTAGCCATTCTGACTAGTGTGAAGTGGTATCTCATTGTGGTTTTGATTTGTATTTCTCTGATGCCAAGTGATGTGGAGCATTTTTTTCATGTGTCTGTTGGCCATTTGAATGTCTTCTTTGGAGAAATGTCTGCTCATGTCTTCTGCCCATTTCTTGATTGGATTATTTGTTCTTTAGGTGTTGAGTTTGATAAGTTCTTCATAGATTTTGGGTACTAACCCTTTCTCTGATACGTCGTTTGCAAATATCTTCTCCCATCTTGTCGGCTGTGTTTTGGTTTTGTCGACTGTTTCCTTTGCTGTGCAAAAGCTTTTTATCTTGATGAAGTCCCAATAGTTCAGTTTGCCTTTGTTTCTCTTGCCTTTGGAGACATGTCTAGCAAGAAGTTGCTGCAGCCGAGGTCACACAGGTTGCTGTCTCTGTTCCCCTCCAGGATTTTGATGGATTCCTATCTCACATTGAGGTCTTTCATCCATTTTGAGTCTATTTTTTGTGTGTGGTGTAAGGAAATGGTCCAGTTTCATTCTTCTGCATGTGGCTGTCCAATTTTCCCAACACCTTTTGTTGAAGAGACTGTCTTTTTTCCATTGGCTCTTCTTTCCTGCTTAGTCGAAGATTAGCTGACCACAGAGTTGAGGGTCCATTTCTGAGTTCTCTATTCTGTTCCATTGATCTATGTGTCTGTTTTTGTGCCACTACCATACTGTCTTAATGATTACAACTTTGTAATAGAGCTGGAAGTCTGGAATTGTGATGCCACCAGCTTTGGTTTTCTTTTTCAATATTCCTCTGGCTATTTGGGGTCTTTTCTGGTTCCATGCAAATTTTAGGATTGTTTGTTCCAGCTCTGTGAAAAATACTGGTGGTATTTTTTTTTTTTTAAGATTTTATTTATTTGCGAGAGAGAGAATGAGAGACAAAGAACATGAGAGGGAGGAGGGTCAGAGGGAGAAGCAGACTCCCCGCTGAGCAGGGAGCCCAATGCGGGACTCGATCCAGGGACTCCAGGATCATTACCTGAGCCGAAGGCAGTCGCTTAACCAACTGAGCCACCCAGGCGCCCAATACTGGTGGTATTTTGACAGGGATTGCATTGAATGTGTAGATTGCACAGACATTTTAGCAATATTTGTTCTTCCAATCCATGAGCATAGAACATTTTTCCATTTCTTTTGTCTTCTTAATTTCTTTCATGAGTGTTCTATAGTTTTCTGAGTACAGATCCTTTGCCTCTTTGGTTAGGTTTATTCCTAGGTACCTTATGGTTTTGGGTGCCATTGTAAATGGGATCGACTCCTTAATTTCTCTTTCTTTTGTCTCATTGTTAGTGTATAGAAATGCAACTGATTTCTGTGCATTGATTTTATATCCTGCCATTTTGCTGAATTCCTCTATGAGTTCTAGCAATTTTGGGTTGGAATCTTTAGGGTTTTCCACATAGAGTATTGAGTCATCTGCAAAGAGTGGGAGTTTGACTTCTTTGCTGATTCAGATGCCTTTATTTCTTTTGTTGTCTGATTGCTGAGGCGAGACCTTCTAGTACCATGTTAACAATAGTGGTGATAGTGGACATCCCTGCTGTGTTCCTGACGGTAGGGAAAAG